CAAATAAAAATAGTAATTACAGTTGTAGAATGCTAATTTTTTTTTCTAATTAATAATGAAGACTTAACAATAAAGGTTATTAGACTACTTTTGCATAATACTAATTACAAATTGTATATTAGAGATAAGTATTTATAATATTTGGAGTTATTACAATTTTTGTATTAAGAAAAATTAACAGATTGCTCAGTTGTTGAGAGCCTGATATAATGAAGTTAGATTTTTAAGTGATATACAAGCGTAAAATTTGAGTAGCCGATCATGATGCGTTTGATTGAAGGTTTTCTCTATATGAGTTGCATGTTAGTTTAGGTTCCTTGGTGATAAGACATTGAGAGTATACAGAGTATTGAGTATATTTCTTTTGGTTAAAATATAAATGAACACTAATTTGTTAGTGATAATTTTGAATAATTTATACAAAATTCGAAAAAAATGTAATTTACATTTACAGCTAAGTTTCAAAACAAATTACACTTATTAACTATCTTATTTGTATATCTTTCTTGTCACAATCAAAAAAATGTAAAATAAAATATAAGACACTATAAATAAACAGCAGAGCGGAAAGGGATAATATTTCTCAACATCCAACTTTCGAATAATTAAAGATAATTGTTTATTTTCTGTATAATTGATATAGAAATTATATAATTCTTGCTATAAGATATAAATTAAGTTTCAATAGAATATTATCCTTCATACGCTCATAATATGAGCCTACCTTTCAGCTACAAAATGAGTACATCAGTGTACTTTTGAAATGTTATCCTATTTCCACTCAGCTGTTCAATAACAAATTGTAGATTCCTGATAACCATGTATTACTGCGTATACACATTGTATTAGAAGCCGGTAAGATTGGTTGGAAATAAGGGGTTAAAATAGGCAAAAACGTATGCCATCACGTGCAATGGTTATAATGCCGCCGCACAGATATTTTATAGGTTACCCGTATTACAATACTATACTAAATTTATTTTTTACATTATATTGTCATAACCTAATAACATATTCATAATCATTCTATATACAACCATATCACCTGATACTGAACTACCGGGAGATTTTGTTGACGTTAAGAGACAACAACAAAGATATTATATAATAATATATATTTGTTTACCATATCAATATATCATATCAACCAAAGTAAAAATTGATGTATATTTTGTTGATAATCCCAAAACTGTGTAATTTAAATGTACAAGAAATATTATCTTAACATTAATATATAACATACATAGACCTTAAATAAAAGACATTTTTTTAAATTTGAATATTTTCCGCCATTCTTTTGTTTGATATTTATACTTCATAAGAAATGAAATAAAAAGCAATCAACAACATTTTTTGACAGAAAACTATCTGATATATATATTGTGTATATGTGTGTACACATTTTATTTTTTTAACACAACCATTTTAAAAAGCAATTAATCATTTTAATTTTAATTCCGTTTCAATTATTAACGCTTCCGGAAACTCAAACAGTATCCAAAATTGCTATTTATATTATTAGTATACATTTATTGCAGTAAGTCGGTCGTCAGCCGTATTCTTATTAACAATACAAAAAAAACATAAAATACTGATGTTGGTACTTAAACTGACGATAAAAAATAAACGTTATAAAAAAGTGCTTGCGAACCATTTATATAATATTATGCGTGTGAAACGAGAAAGAGATTGTTCGAATTGGGCTATCTAAAATCCGGCGCACTCATAAATTACAGCCCATTAATAAAACGTGATGCATTTCGAATAAGATTGTCTAATTTAAGTTACTATACTCCCAGTTTTTGCATTTTCACGCGTTCAAACGAAAACTTTGGATTTCATAGTAAAGTATTTTCACAATGTACCAAAACATTTTCCACCGGGGAATTGGCGATGTTTGTAACAAATTTTCAGTTGTCGTTTATTTCATTCGCATATTACACGCACACATTAAATATAAATATTTTATGCTAGCATTGCCTCTTCAAGCGAATAAATCATAAAGTTCCATTAGAGAATATATATAGTTGTTCGTGTAATATCTTAACTACATGTTCAACCCTCGCAACGAACAGTTTTGTTTTGACGTTTTCCCATACTGATGCCGCACATGCATTCACAAGATTTATGAAACATTTATTTATCTCAGGCACGAACAATAATAGAAAATAAGTATTTATTAATTATCACAAGCGAAAATAATAAAAAATAGCCAATATAAAATATCTAAAAAAAATGGTCAAGTCGAAGCGACAAATTGATTATATGGATGTCGTTTGCACTATACATTGTTGGTCATGAAATCTTGACAGTTATGTACATAAATCTGCAATATCCTCACACTGAAAAATGAATATATACTCGTATATACAAATCTTTCTAGATGTAAACCGATGAAGAAATCGATTATTGGGAGTAAAAATAATTTAGGTGTAGAAATGAATCGGATAATACAGAATTACAACATATCAACGAACGGCGATAAATTATAGAAGTATATAAATATATCCTGGCTTATATAGTAGGCATTTTACTATATATATTTTACTTGAGATACATCTACAGGTCTTGGACACTGATAAAAATTAACACAGGGGAGATACTTATCACACAAAAACGCGGCGGCCATCTTCTTAAGGCTACACACTATAATGTAATAGCTATGTATACATTATTATTTTTAGTTGTTTATAGATATAACACATAATACTAAATAGGTTTCTACAAAATAGTCGTCACTTTTATGTTTACATCGAGAGTGACCCTTCTGCTTTTATCTATTCGGTGCATCTATTAAATAGGCTTAAGCGTAACAGTGTAGTACAAAATATGATGAAAAATATTTAGTCATCCGACCTCCTGTCCAATACTCTAGGTACTCCCTCCTGCAGCTTTTCTGTCGTAACCCAAACCTCGCTATAATTTCCATAAAAAAAAGTTATTGTGAAGGCTTTGTGTGATGAACCGCAATTGATTTTATGTGAACTCGAGTTGTGTAGGGGTAGTTTAAAAAAATCGGAAATTCCCATGTTATTACTATATACGTACTAGAATTCCGTCAGAAACATTAATAACGGCCAGTAGTTTTTTTATTCCATATTTTCTACACGCTCAATTGAATTTTGAAGATTTTTTAATCACAATACCTCCGTATTTCAACATAAAGCGACTAAAGAATAGTGTACGAATTTTTTTATGAAGTTATCCGATTCTATGGAACAACGGTAAAGTGATTAATTTATTTTATTTTTTCGCTTCTTCTTCTGTAATCACATGAGCTTATTGTAAAACTGTTTTTTACAGATTGTTCATTTACAAATAAAAAAATTATAATAATAAAGTGATTATTTTAACTGAACTACCCTAGTTGTCAACTTCTAGAAATTGTTATTCATTTGCTAATATCGAGTTTCTTCTTCAAACTGTATTCTTCGACCGTAATATTTTACAATTTTATTTATTTATACAAATAATATATAGCCCCCCCAGTGGACAAACATTAAATAATTATATACCAACACAGTTATAATTAAAAAAAGTATTATTTTGCTGTGTAAATTTGTTCGATCTAAAACATATTTTGTTATCTCGGAAATACACCAGGCGATACCTTAGTTTTTCTAGTACAATATATGATTTTAATACTCCAAAAAATGTCTCACTTTTAAACCAAAGAAAATATCGAAAGTGCAGGGCTACCAATATTACCGTATTTTTAAACAGTTGTTTAGTTAGTATTGAAAATATACATAATTCATCAATATTGTTACATTTTGCCATTAATTTTCTTTCCAAGATCTTTTTACCAAAAGAAAATGCCTTTAGAAAGTGATGCACGATTGTTACTTAAGTACTCAATTATTTTTTCTAAAAAAAACATACATACAATTTTACGCAAAAAATTAAAAAGGATCAATATTTTATCCATTATTACAACAATTAATAAGTATTACATCAGTGTATATTTAATTAATTAATTACAGAAGGCCTAAAAGAAAAATATTGGGCTAACTGACCCCAACCTTTGTACAACCGTCCACACATTGCTTAATCTAGTTTGAAATTAAGAATTGATTATTTTTATTAGTTGTTGTGATTAGTCGTCAAGTATGTGTTGCTACTATTTCCAACTAACCTAAACCACCTTAGAATTGATAAAATTAAAATGTTTTACCCGGTAGACTAATGACAAATTGTTATAGTACAGATAAGAGTTTGATGAGCTTAAATCTGCTATAAAAATATTTTTATTGAACAAGTGGATTTGAATATAATTAAACATACAGTTCACGACAAAATAATATGAAAAAGTTATCCAGAAGAAGAAAAAAACTACTTTCGCGGTAGTAGTTTAAATTATACATAATTATACACGATGACCTTTATTATAAATTATATGTATGCCTCCCATGTGAGGTAGCAGATTTTTTTTATTTTGGCGAGGGAGGCAGCTAATAATTTTTGATTTTAAAAGTTACAAGACATGGATGCCATAGAAACCCATAGGGATAATTAATAGTCGCTCAAAATTTGTCTCCCTAGTGCCGGGTGAAAACCCGTAATAAAACGTCACCCTTGCATCTAGAGGTGGCGGAAAAACAACGTTTCGGAATGCAAAACGTCCAAACGCGGTTTTGCGTCACACGTTATTCAATTGTTCCTCTTTTATACAATTGTGTTGTTCGAGTCACGACACCCGACAGCGGCGGTGCTGTTTGAAAACTAACTCGGTTCACTTGTATACATGACCTATTGCACGGTCGTTCTTCACGAGGCCTCGAGAACTTATACCCGTCTCGTCGATTACCGCTATTGGAAACGCTGTACACCTATTTGCACGTCCGCCGTCGATGCTGTTACCGCAATGGTGACGTTAACATTACCTCACGCGTACACGGCCACGGTGGGGATGGCATAAGCCGCCCGAGAAGTACACACATCAACGTCTTCTCCCGCGGGTTCTCCTGCTCCGGGAAACCGGCACCGGCATGGTCCAACGCCCGAGATGGCTCGACACCACGCTCACTCGTGTCGCGCACGTTCACCTGTTTGTAATACACGACGCGGCCAACGAAAATGACTCGCTCTCGTGTGCGTTTGAGCCGCCCGATTTTCACGCCGGCTTCTGTCGCGGTTCTACTCGTGTTCCACCTGACGGCTTCTTACATCGCCACCGGTAAGTCTGCTCAAAACCTATAAAAACCGTGCCAAAAACCACCCCGCACCGTGTACGAAAAATATTATATTAAAACATTGCCGCTGAGCAGCGAATCTGCATGGTAGTCTGTACAGCACAACGTGTCGACCCACTTGGCTGAAAACCTCTATAAAGTATGCACGACCCACTGGAACCGGTATATCATTTTTGCAATCGATTTTTTTCTTTTAGAAATAACTGACAATTTGTAAATATCAAAACGTGCGTTGTCAAAAGCTTCCTACCTGAAAGCATCAAAGTTTCTCATCTCGCTCGTTCACAATCACCAAATCATATCCATAGCTATTGTTTAAATCTAGTATACACCTATAAACTTTTTAAAAACTTTTATTGTTTTCTTTGAACTTTATTCGGGTTCTTTCCATTAATTTCGATATTATTTTTACGGATAATTACAATTTGCAATGGCGGTCGGCAGCCGAGATAAACTGGATGAGTTACGAAGTTTAGTTATAGGGTATATCAAACATAAATTATGAATTTAACCTAATCATGAAAGACAACAGCTGTGCAAAATTAGTGTAAAATGCACTTTGTACCAATAGCATTCTCGCTATCGCGGATACTCGCGTTATGTGACTCGCCTTTGACAAAAGCTCAGTTATCGAATAATTAACCTTTTGATACGCCATATTTACCCTAAGAACACGTGGGGCAAGGCACAAGGGCCCCGAATAAAAATATTTCCATCTTTACGTTTTTTTTTTTGGTTTTCTTAAAAGGGGCCCACAAATTCTAAGTGCTCAAGGGTCTCTGCATAGCCTAAGATGGCCCTGCCTATCATATGAATATCATATCATAATAAATCCGGGCGAGTGTAAAAGTTGAGTTACTACTTACACTGACTGGTTGTTAAATAAAAAATAAATTTAAGAAAACATAGTCGGTTTGGAAAAAGAATACTCGTCTCGAAATTATTTATTTATTTTTCTACTAGGGTTTTCGGAAACATGTGATTTTGAAAAATGAAAATTTTTTACGCGTTTTGACGGCAAGCGAAATTCACCCGACGGCGAGGCAGTCATTGAACGTGTTCCTCATTTTTTTTGTTCAGTATAGTGTCGCGCGCATTGTCTACAACGATAATCTAATCCTGTCCGTCATTATAACGCACACACGGGCTACCTCTAGGGTTATAGAAAACCACAAAGTAACAATGAGCCGCCTACCGATGAGACACGGATTTTGCAAGCATAAAGTCACGCGCGCCCGTTCAGATAGTAGATTCCGGGCGTTTGGTTTTTTTTTACCTACTGATGGTTTTCACCTCTTCGTCGAACAACACGTATAAAAAATATATACAGCGATTTTCCACTCATTCGTTCGGCCTTATTATTTTATATATAAATTTAATCAAAACCGACGAAAAGCCCCAAAAATACCGTTTTGATGCGCGATCCCGCCAAAACGAATTCGATAACGAATTACAGAAATCGTCGAATGTAATCCTAGAATCATCTGTCAAAGAGTTAGGTTCTCTAGCAAAAAAATTCTAGAAGTTGTGATAATTTTTGTTATTGGCTATCCGGAGTTCTTCTTGAGGCACCCTTTATTGCCGGGAAAAGTATAAATTATAATAACACGTTTTGAATGCCTGTTTATTTCCTTTTAGGGGAACGGAAAGCGTCAATTTTTTTACAAATAAAGACTAAAATGCGGAGTACTTTCTGAAGTGTCTACCGAACCGATTTCAATAATTTATTTTTGTTTTCAAAAAATATTTATAAGCATTTTTATTTTCACTTTTTTATAGTTTTTCTAATACAATCAACTACTTAATCGCTAAATCAAAAATCGATCTTTTAGCCCCCATAGAAAAAGTAGTAAGCTTCGCATAAAAAAAAAAACTTTAAATCTGTCCAATAGATACGCCAGAAAATTACTTCTACAAATGTCATATTTTATCAAACTTTCGTCATAACTTGAAGAAAAATAACTTTAAAAGTATTATAATTAGAAAATTATAATATATTATGTTCGCCTTGAAATTAGTAGACATATGAAAAATGGCTATTAGATATATTTATTTCAAATATTGCCTTTCCTTTGCCCCTTATTAATTAGCATTTTCCGTTCCCAAACAACGGCCGTCCAGGTAATTAATTAAAACGACAGTATTTGTCACGCCTTACCAAATAGCGATGCTTAAATCTGAACGTCTCGCTCGTCCAATCTGTTCGTTTCATCTTAGAACGATTAATAATTTATAAACTGTTTTGCGTGAGTCTCGATATTGTAGTAAAATATATTATATTTTATTATAATATGTATATATATATATATATCAAACGTCTAGCGGGTTAAAAAACAATTAGGTTTCGACACAAACGGTAGGCCTGTAACAACACAACCCTTGGGGGACACACATCTCGTTTGACGATTATTAACGATTCCATTGTTCCATCGATAGCGACTTATGTGTTACTTTTTTTTGTGTATTACCACCACTAGCGGAGTTGAGGTCAAAACGCCAGGACTACATTGCTCAAGTCAGACGGCTGCTGTTAACATAATAATACAATATTGAATATAATAATAATAGACAATAATGTATATTAACTTTTCCACATATTTTGCCACCTTTCACTCCGTCGGCGCCACTATACAACGACGTGTAACTATAATGGTTATGTTTTAATAATTATTATTGCGATCAAACCGTGTTTAATTCCAATCGTTATCTGTACAAGTTCATGACTTTTTCTTCATATATAAATCCCCTTAAAAGCATTAATCCCGTCGAGTTGGCGTTTTATACCTCGGCGGAAATTCGAGAAAAAAAATATAATTAAAATAAACGCGATAAGGTCCGGTGAATTACGTTTTAGGTCACTCGAGAGCGATTAAGGCGACCACCGGTGATGATTAACCGAGAGAGACAGAGAGATGCCGCAAAGACAATGCGGTCAACGCTGTAATGGTCGTTTGTATAGTGTCCAGTCCAACGGTCGTTTATAGGTGGTGACACGTCTTCGTGGACACCCGGAATTACGATTAATCGACTTACGGTAGATTCCAAAAATTTCGCTCAAATTTAAAAAATATAATTAATGATACAACTAGCGCATGACCCGCGGGCGCTGCAGTCATGGTTCGAGTGGCATTCCGTTTAAGAAACAGATGTATTAGGCGTGTGTGTGCAATCTAAGCACACTTAAGTGTGGTCAGAATATATATTTGTCGGTGTACACTTGGTTTAGTATCCGAGTGGAGCAACAACGTGAGAGAGCGTAGCAACAGTAACGGCTCAAACATATATGTATCGGAAATAATGATATTAAGACGATATTATACCTAGCACGGTGCAAACCCAATCTGGGAATAGAATAGTGACTACATTATTATTATGTATGTTTGTACCGAGTTATTATACTGTGACTAATTGCCGGTACAAACGCCGGCGAGAGACGATAATTAAAACGCAATACATTTATACCAGACTCGTGTCGACCGACAAAACTATGGATTAATTATGACACCAAAGGTTAGTGTACTTTATAACAGTCCAACGGTTCGTATTGGTGTGAGTGTGTATACAGAGAGAACACTGTAGGTGTTTGACTTTTGTCGCAATCATGAGGGTCGTTTGTGACGGGACACCAAAACTTTAACCACCCCGGATATCTGGCTTTGTACTTGTGAATATTATTACGGCGATTCCGCACGACCAAAATACACAGAACATGAAAACACGGCAATGGTGACCGGAAGCCTCGGACCACGACCACCAGCTGTTGGCCGTAGTTCCAAATTGCTTTTGGAAAACCACAGCTGCCGCTCCGCATATAAACGTTTGGACGCTTTTAACGAATATTTGTTATTGAAAGAAAACTCGATTTTTCGAAATACGATATCCTATATAAGACAAATATATTATTAATATATGTTTACCTTATTTCAATTTGAAATAACTTAAAGTAAGATATGTTTTTAGAAATGACAAAACATTTTTTTTAACTTTGTACAACATTAACCAATTACAATCATATTGTTAAGTTAAATGATTATTTAGTACTATGTTATACAACTAAATTGCATTACAATAATTACTGGGCTTGATAGGAAAACAAGTTTTATAAAAAATGTAAACTACAACATTATACACTAATGACAGAAAAAACGTATAATTGAACTTATATTTAAAGGACCAATAATGTTCAATTACAAAACTACAAACTAGGATATGATATACAAATGGTTTTATAAAAATTTGGTGTTGAGGCAGTAGCCGATAAATTTTTACAAAGCTAATTTGGTTTTTTACCACATGATATTAAACGCATATTAGTATCAAGAAGGCTATTCATTATTATAAATACTAACTCATAATAAATAAAAAATACACTTTAATGTGACTAATATTATAGTATTTTATTAATTGTATAAATTATATAGTTAATTACTTTAATAGTTATTTCGGAAACCAAAAGTTGTAGAAGATTTTATAATTTGTCCTTATTGTTTTTAATAACAAGAATGAAGAGAATTTTAAATAGACTTAATTTTAAGTAGAAACGGTTTACTAAAGGTGTTTATAAAAACATATAAATCACCCCTTATAAGCCTCACCTCACATGGTTGCACAAAGTTTTAATACTCTCGTTAAAACTGTAGTTAGTTGTGGCACATAATGATTTTGGTTTAGACGGGGACGATGGCGGTGAAAATTGTTGTATACCGAATATAGTTGTATAATATAATAGTTGTATACAGTTTCTTATAATATTACAAAAAAATATGAATGTTGTTTTTACAACCGTTTTTATAATGGTAAACCTTTTTTGGATTTTTTTTTAATTCATTATTTGTTCTCCAATGTATTAAATAATATAAGTTATGCATATTCTTTTCTATATTCTTATGTATATTCTCACTCCACTTTTAATAGTAATTTTTAACTTTTTGGAACAATTTTTTAAGCAAGATGCTAAATATAAGACTGAATGAAAAATTATATG